CTAGACAAAGATTTTCATGCGTGAGTGGTCTCACATTATCAACTCTTTCATGCTTATAGTTTTGCTCCAGTCTTCTTTCTTTCTTACTAATTGGCTCTTCAGTTCAAGTCCTCTTGGTAGGTACATCTCATTGTCAGTCCTCATGGTACTCACCACTGAGCACTACTGGCCCTTGAAGGAAAAGGAAGTAAAACCAGTTCAAGGATAGGATGCTAAACTGAGAATTAGTCACAAATCAAAACCAGGCAATGTAGGATGATGCCTACGTAAGCATTGTCCTTTCATAAATGATGAAGGACTGAGTCAGATAGACACCGGAAGAGACACTCTGTGTCCCTCCAAGATCTCCAAAGACCCTTTGGGAGTCAGGCCTGGAAGTAAAGAAATGAGGTTGCCATTTGCCAGTTGATCAGCAGATTATTTCTGGGCAGTGGCTATGGCTGCCAGCAGCTGGCACAGTTCTAACTAAAGAACTCAGTCCTGTGCTGGTCAGAAGCATGTTGTACCTCCATAAAGATGCTTGCTGATAACAGGTGGCGTATGCCCAGGGGCTGTCCAAGAACAGATGAGAACCAAGTGGCCATGGGTAGAGTAGGAGGCTGAGTGCCTTTGTAGGTAGGGTAGGAGGTTGGAAGGAAGGGTAGAGCTTGGGTCGGGGTTGGGCTGGTTGCAACCAGCGAGCGCAGAGGTGAATAAGTGGGCGTTCAAAGTAGAATGGCGGTGTGGTAACCCTTCCTGTTGACAGTCTTAGATATTTGTTTACTGTCTGTTTAGAGAAGTGGAGCATGCTTAGGGGAAAGGACAAGGAGGAAGCTTGCAGCAGGGCATAGTGATGCTCACCTTTAACCCCAGCGCTTGGGAGGCAGAGGCAGGGGCAGAGGCAGAGGCAGGCCGATCTCTGAGTTCAAAGCCAGCCTGGTCTACAGAGTTCCAGGAGAGCAAGGTTTACATAGAGATTCTATCTTAAAAGAACAGAAACAAGCAAGCAAGCAAGCAAACAAACAAACAAAGGAATGTTCCCAACAATTTATTATAATCTACTCTGTAAATCTGTTAGTCAGACTGAAACAGGGATGCAGGCTACTTTTCTCAAAAAGTGCTGACTCTTTACCTGGACCCATCGGTGTCTGATCAGTGACTAAATCCTGGGTCTCTCTGTCTTTATTTTGCATCTGTGTCCTTGGCTGGTTTGAACTTTGGGTTGGAGTCCTGCTGGTGGCTCTTCACAAGGGAGTGTTTAATCTAAAAGTGGCAATTCCTCCCCCCCCCCCTGATTCCAGTCTAAAGCTGACAACATATTCAGTAGATTATCAACCTTTAGTGTGTTTATGCCTTCTTGCAGATCTCCTGAATGGTGCCTAGAAGTTGCCAGTCACTGACCTTAATCTGAAGGCCTAACTGACTCCATCTTGCCAGTCTGACTTCTTGCCATGACTTGTCCCTTCTCTGAGTCATTCTTCCCCATAGTTTCTTGGATTCCAGGAATAACAGGCCTCATCAATAAACATCTTGTGATGAGGGGAAACTGTCCCCAGGCAGTAGCTACTTGCTTATTACAGATGAGATTCTGCAGAACCATCCTGAGATAAGGATAAACCAGCCCACGGTTTGACAGACTGGCTTGACTGTGCTTGCTTTTCTGACCACATAGCTGTTGTTCCTCTCTACAGGAGCCTGACTTCTTATCAGCAACCTGAAATTCCCTGCAGCAGGGAACTCTCTGTACCTACTGTCCCTCCCAGGTGTGACCACACTGAACACAATCTTTTCTTGTGTCAGTGGGGTTGTTTATCATTTGGTCAAGTTGAGCTGCAGTGACTAACTGAGCCTGGTCCACTGCTGAACACAAGGAATCAAGCCTCTAGCTTATCCAATAGCAAGACAGATACATTAAAGATGATATGTCATTGCCTAGTGTGTTGATGCATGCTCCAAATCTCAGCCCTGTGGAGGCTGGTGCAGGAGAAACCTGAGCACTAGGTTAGCCTGGTATACATAGAAAGATCCTGTCTCAAATATTTTTTCTTTAAATAAAATACAAACGTCTATGCTGGTATTGGGCTCGCTACATGTGATGGCCCTTACTTCCCCATGACCTCTGCAAACTTTTAATTTTATGTTACTTTTCATTCATTCTCCCCAAGACAGTAGCTCCATTTTTTCTTGCATTCATCATTTTGTTTGGGTGCCCTTTATGGATTATTGTTCCTATGGCTTACTCAACTTTGCCCCCTTTTTATATCTGTCTTTAAAAAATATTATTTTTTGAGACAAGGTCTTACCTAGCCTAGGCTGGCTTCTAACCTCACTACATAGTCAAGGATGACTTGAATCTTCCTTCCCTCCTTCCTCCCTTTCTTTCTCTCTATCTCTCTTTCTTTCTCTCTTTTTCTCTCTTTCTTTCTTTCTCCCTTCCTTCCTTCCTTCCTTCCTTCCTTCCTTCCTTCCTTCCTTCCTTCCTTCCTTCCTTCCTTCCTTCTCTCTATTTTAAAGACAGACTGGCCTACAAGCTTTTGATCTTCCTGGTTCCCGAGTGCTGGGGTTGCAGGCATATGGCACCCTATAAGGAACTCTTATGTTTGTAGATCCACTACCTTTAAGGTCTTACAGTGTAATAATAAACATTAACTTTTTTTTATTATACAACAGGATGATACAATAAAAAAAAAAACAAATAAAACTAAACCAAACATTATAAACCAAGTTAAAGGAAGAGTTGTTGGCCATGTGAAAATATTTGTTAATGTTTATTTAAAATATAGTCAGGAGATCAACTTGTGCAGTCCAGGGAAGAGAGGAAAGGGCTTCATACAAACAGAACCGTGTGGCATTGAGTGGCTTCTTTTACTCATTGTAATTATTTTGAGATTCATTCATGTAGTATGTATTGCTAGTGGTTTCTTTTCATTATTGAGCAGTAGTCCATAGATGGGTTTCCAGTTTGTCTGTCCATTGATGACAAATAGGATTATTTCCAGTGTTGAGGTATTCCAAGGAAAGCTACTGTGAACATTGTATATAACTCTATGTTAATGTAAGGTTTCATCGCAGGTTATTATATCTACAGACTTAAGAGAGGAATGACTGAATTGTCTGAGACGTGTGTTTGATTTTTTACAAAGTTAACAAACCATTTTTGAGGAGAGTCTACCATTTTGCAGGTCCACCTACAAGGCACGCATTTCAGGTACTAAACATGCTGGCCAGTCCTCGGTATCGCCACCCTGGTACCTGGCTGTTCTGAGGGTCTGGTGAGGTGGCTTTCTGTGGCCTAATTACTCTTCTTTAGTTGGCGACTCTGCAGCACTTATTTGCTGTCTCTCTCTCTCTCTCTCTCTCTCTCTCTCTCTCTTTGGATGAAATGTCTTCATATTTTTAAATGTGTTTTGTGTGTGGTACATGAGTGTGTAAAGGTGCACGTGTGACTCTTCATTTATTTCTTTATCCCCATCGTTTATTTTAGTTATGTACTTGAGACAAGGCTTCTCACACAGCTTGGAGCTCACAGTAAGTTCAGGTGTCTCCTCGTACCCAGCATTGTTAGCATCATAGGTTTGCACCACAATGACCAGCTTTTTCCTCGGATGCTGGGGTCTGAGCACGGGGCCTTGTGTCTGTACCATGTGCAATGCACTTTGCCAACTGACTCAGCTCCCCAGCCACTAGTCTGTTTGTTTTATAATTAGGCTCTTTGTCTTCTTACTATAGAGAATAAGTTTCCTATTACTCTGACTGCTTGTTTACTTATTTATTTACGATCGGCCTCCATTGTTTCGGGTGCTGGGATCACAGTCCACCTTACCTGGCTTGTTTTTGAGTCTTTTTCTTATTTTTTTAATGGTATAAAGTTAGGATGAAGTTTATTTTTCTCTCTCATTTGTGGGAAAATCCTTTCCCCATCGACCTGCCTCAGCAGCTTCATTTTAAGCGAGCAAATATGTATGTGGATATGGCTTTGGCACCTTCTGCTTTGTTCCATGATTGATAAAGGTGTCTCTCACCATAATATTCTCTTCTTGATGGTGGCTTTATAATAACTGCTGGATGCAGGCAATGTAAATTCTCTTAAATTGTTCTTTTAAAAATATATATTTTTTGATAGTGCTATGGATTGAACCCAGAACCTAGGCAAGTGCTCTACCCCTGGAGCCATATCCCCAACCTTGATTCTGTTTCCTTTTTTAAAGCAATGTTGTATATCTTTTGTAGTTCTGTATACAGTGTAACATTTACAGAATTCTGGATATTTCAAGGGCTCACGAAGATCCTATGGAGTTATTTGAGATGAAACAGTGTTTTCTACTTTTCTGTTTTGAGACAAGGTCTTATCTACGTCGATGACATTGTGACATTGGCCTTGAACTTCCAGCAATCTTCCTGTCTCAGCCTCCTAAGTGTTAGGACTTGCGATTTATGCCTTTATTCCTGGTGAACACTGACATCTTTATATTGAAATTTCACCTTATTTTTGTTTTGGTCTTTATTCAACAGAATAGTGTACATTTCTGAATAGATGTATCATATTGATAAGGGATGCATCCAAGAATCACTTGGCAGCCAGTCACTTGGGACCACCTTTAAATGCATCAACGTAGCCTCAAAAACAGCCTTTCCTTAGCTCCATTGAGGCAGAATGTGTTTGTTCTAAATTAACTCCTAATTTTGCATACTTTGGTTAATAGAGGATATTTAAGAACTGACAGACAACTGGGGATAGCAAATATGTGGGACAAACCTGTCATACTTTCTTCGTTTTCCATATGGACAGGGTCTCTTAGTCATTTCCAGCTGCTTCCAGTGGGCTAGTGGCTCTGAGTTTCTGGTGATGTCTGTCTTGCTGTTTCTGCTTCCCCTTCTTGCTGTAAGAGCACTGAGATTATTAACCTATGTAACCACACTCTGATTTATATGGGTTTAAGGGATTTGAACCTGGGTCCTCATGCTTGCTTAAATCACTGAGGTGTCTCCCTGGCTTCCTGCCACTTAAAAAATAAAATGGTTCTCTCTGGCAATGGGCAAAGAGACATATTTGGTGATGTTGTTCTTTTATCAGTCAGGGGCAGAGCTGATGGTATTCCTTTCTTCATCCTAGCTTGATGCCTGGCTTGGTGGCCACAGCTGTTTTATTTCCCAAGACACAAAAATCAAATCAGATCCAATCCAGGCATCACAGCGTGGGAGGAGAAAGACAGAGACCTGTGTTCTGCCATGCTACACAGTGCAGATGGGAAAAGACACCCACAGACTTTCCCTCTGCCCCACAGCACAGTCAGGCCATAGAAACACAGAGCCCTGACTATCACCGCACAGTGCAATAGGGGACTACCATGACACCCACAGACTTAGCCTCTGGCACATGTAGACACCTGCTTTGCCTAGAGGATGTCACCCAGGGCGGTCAGCCTCATGGCCAGCCTGCAGTGGGAGCCACCATAATGTCAGGGTATGTGGTAGACAGATGGAAGAGAAAGAGAAGTAGAGCAGCTTGAGCATTGTGAAGAGAGATGGAACTGGAGACCGCAGGGTGGAGAGGAGTAGCCTGTAGTGAATGGTCAGGCCTACCACCGGGGGCCATGGTGAGGTCCCAGCCTTAGCTGCCCCTGAGGGCCATGCCTGGGTCCATGACTATGCAGAGGCACTGGTCGATATCATATATGTGCCTCATATGGCCACTGGAGGACATGTGTATATCCCTTGTCAGGACAACGGCACTGGGGAGCAAGTGGATGTCCAGGGGCTGTGCAGAACTAGTTCTGCCTTTCACTGCTTGTGGCATTCTAGAAAGCTCCTCCCACCTCTCACCTGCAGCAGCACTAGGGAGAGCAGGCCATGCACCTTGCCTGGACAGGACAGCAGAACTGACCCTGGTGGTGGGTAAAGGTAAAGGTGAGCCAGCCCCAGGATGAGAGCGTGGGAGAGCTGGCCCTGTCACTAGTCTGCCTTGAGGAGGTGTGCACGTCAGGGTGATACCCTCCCTTGCTCCTCACCACCTGTGGCAGTTGGGAGAGCTGGCCCTGGGGTCCCGAGAGCAGGTACACTGGCCCTGTCCCTTGCCATCTGTAACACTCAGGAGAAAGCGCACTGCAGCTCACCTCAACAGGACAGTAGAGTTGGCCCTGATTTCGAAGGTAAGAGTGAGCCAGCTCCGAGGGGTGAGAGTGAGAGAGCTGGCCCAGTCCCTCACAAGCTGCAACACTTGAGAGGGTGGGCCTCAAACCTTGACTGAACAGCACAGAGGCGCTGGCTCTGAGGTGTGGGTGGGGGTGAGCCATCCCTGAGGGCACAGGAGCAGGAGAGCTGGCCCTGCTTCCTGTCTCTGGTGGCTTTGGGCGGCCTAGCTGGAGCAGTGCTGGAGAGCTCACCCCGGTGGTGCTAGTATGGGAGAGCTAGCAGGCTGAACAACTCAGCTACCACCCACCCAGGCCCAGATCCAGAACTTTGAGTTGGCCTACCTCAAAATCTACTCCACCTGTGAACTGCTTGGAACATGTGAAAGGGCTGCTCCTGCAGATCCGAAGCTTCAGGATCTTCATGACATGGGGCTACAACTGGGAGAAAACCTGGGGAAGATCCAATATTGATTTTATCACAGAAGTCAAAGATATTGAACCAGACCATTGACCCATTGACTCCTGTCAGTGCACATTTGCAAGTGAAGAAGTGAAGATGTGTGGAGAGAGGGCTAGCTTGTGAGATACACTGAGACATACTATGGCTTCCACAGTATGGTTTTTTTTATTTTTTATTTATTTATTTTTTTTTTTTTGTGATGAGGGGATGGGAAGGTGACCAGGACTGGGGTGCATGATGTGAAATACAAAAAATCAATAAAAAGTTAAAATAAAATTAATGACACTGTTCAATAAGTTAAGTTTGCCTTTCCTGTTGCAAAGGTACTTGAGTTGGCTGGTAAACATCCTTATGTGAACTTGAGATAGGAAGTGGTAGGACGCACTGCTGTAAAGAGAGGCAGGTTGGGCATTTGGGAAAAGGTCAGTATCAGGCCCACGGGTTAACAAGACATCCTCAGGTAGGTACCAGTGTAAAAAGGGATAGCAGATGAAGCCTTCCAGGTGGGAATCAACAGAGATACCTAGAAACTGGACCTGAGGAAGGCTCTCATTTGGGGGAGTGAAGGAACGTGGTAGCAAACCAGTAGAGGAAGCTGAAAAGAATCAGAGATGATAAAACCAGCCTTGGCATACTGAGCCATTTCCAAGGTTCTGCCTGACTGCGCACACTCTGCCCTCAACCTGGCTCATAGTTTATGTTCAACAAGCTTTTATTGAATAACTAAATAAAGGCTGTGGTGTTTAATATTGATTATAAAATTTACAGGATCTAGAATCCCTTAGGAGCAAGCTTTAAGGCACACTCACCTCACGAGGGATCGTCTAGATCAGGTTAATCTCTGGGCACCAGGTCAATTGAAGTGGGAAGACAGACCTCAACTGTGGGCAATGTTCCCCCATAGGCTGAGGTTCTGGACTGAATAAAAAGGAGAAAGCAAGATTAACAGTAGCACTTAACCACTCTGTGCTTCCTGGGAGTGGATGAAGTGGGACCAGTTACCTTCCCCTCTGTGATGGGTTAAACCCCCTGAAACTGAGCCAGAAGAGACTCTCGCTTCTTCTACCCTGATTCACTTAAGTCAGGTATTTGTACCTGCATTTTTTTTTTTTTTTCCAGGAGCTTGTGATAAACAGTCTCCAATATCGATGTAAACTTGGGATGAAGGAGAGAAGGTTTCTCTGAGAAAAAGGGTTGTGAATTTCAGGCTAACGAATGAAAATGAGGACATGCCCACTCCTGGGTTGAGGAGGAGAATTTTATTGTAGATATGAGGGAGAGTAAAGCCAGAGACATCTGGAAGAGTCCAGATGGAACATGGCTGGCAGAATGGACCAGGCCATGAGAGGGAGAGAGAGGAAGATCAAGAGGAGAGAAGAGAGAAGAAAGAGGACAGAGGGCAAGGAGGCCAAGAGCGATTCAGCCGGGAGAGTAGGCAGCCAAATGGGCAGGATATGTAGGGATCAGAAGCCGGGGAAAGGGAAATGAAGCCCTGACTCTGGGCTGAAGAGGCTTAGGGTAGGGGGAAAGGTGAGAACTGCTGGGAGGAGCCACAGGTGCTGAGTGACACTTGTCTTGGTTTCTTTGGAGTCTGACTTTCCAGCCTATGGATGATAAGGTTTTAACTCCATCACCTCACACAAAGATCATGGGAACCTATAAAATGCAAAACATAAGACTCAATCTAGGAGTTGGCTGCGGCAGCACAACCCTAAGCTTTGTTAAGTACTTGGCTTGGCCCCCAGCACAGAGTGAAACACTCATTCATAAAACTGGCGTGAGTGTTTAGCGCGAGCCCAGGGGAGGGCTTAATAGCTGTGGGCAAAAGAGTAAACGAGACAGACACAGACCCGACATTCATCATGGGATGGATACAGGTAAATAAAGACATCTGAGTGATAGCTGCTGTGCAGAAATCAAGACATGGCAATTTGAAAGCAATGCCTGGCTGCAACTGGTGTGGGCTGGATAGGTCAGGCTCTCAACTACAAGAAGACCCGATACTGACCATTGCTATGTAATTTTTACAACGTTTTTACTGTCATATATGTATATGGTGGGGAAGACACACGTCGCAGTCAGAGGACAACTCTGAGGAGTCAGTTCTCTCCTTCAAAACCTTTATAAGGATTCCAGGGATTGAACTCGGGTGACCAGAATTGTGCAGCAAGCGCCTCTAACCTGCCAACCCATCTCACCTGTCCTTTTAAATTTTAGATTCTTATTTTCTTCTGCTTCACCTGCCCTGTGCACCATCTCACGACATTTCACATTTTTGCTCAAAACCCCTTCATGTCTTTCTGAGCGACTTTGCAAATTATCTCCATGCAGACAGCAGAAAAGCGTGGTGCCAGCATTGAGAACTGTGGTGAGCTTGCTTTGTGCCGGGAGCTGGAGAAAAGGCATCCTTGCCTGAGGCAAAGGCATTTGCACCTTCCAGGAGTTACATGATTAGAGAAAGCAAGCGCAGTGGAGGGGCTGCATTGCAGGCAACCGCAACTTAACCTATTAGAAGAGGAAGAAAGGCCTTTGAAAAGTGGATTAACAATATTTATTGAGGCATCAGGTCAGTAGCTGGTGAGAGCTTGCTGATAATGAGGCCAAGGTTGAAATGAATTACCATATGGACCAGAGAGCTTCGTGGGGCGAGAGCACACCACTGGTTTAACTGTCTATGAGGCTTAAGTAAACATAGAGCTGCCTTATGCCTTAGTTCTGTGGTCTAAGACAGGACACACACACACACACACACACACACACACACACACACACACACACACGCACACGCATGCACACGCACACGTACACACACACTCCCCTGCATGTCTCACAGGAGTGTTATGAGGAGCAAATGCAGAGTAAACTGTTTAATAAAATCGTGCTCTATAAATATGGTCTGGTGTTGCCTGATGACAATATTTTAATGGTCATCATACTCCTCTTTTGTTATGCAACAGCTGGCTACATCTGTGGCTGAGGGTCAACCACATTGACTCAGTATATTCATCTCCAGTCAGGAAAATTATTTTTGTAGCATGAATAGAACACACGTGTGTGTGTGTGTGTGTGTGTGTGTGTGTGTGTCTACATATGGTTACATGGGTTAATGAGAAGATCAGAACAATCTTGGGTTCTGTTCCTCAGGTACTGTTTACACTTTTTTTTTTTGAGACATGGTCTGTTATTGGCCTGGAGCTCACAAACTAGTTGAGGTTGAGGTTGAGGTTGCTTGTTAAGGGAGCCCCAGGGATTGCCCTGTCTCTGCCTCCCCACTGCTGAGATTACAGGTGTGCATGAATGGACCATTTCCCCAACCCTGCACCCCGTGTTTTTTTAAGTGTTAATGCTAGATCTCATGTTGTCAGTAGTCCTGGGGAAATCTTTTTCTGGCTAAATCTTTTCTTTTGAAAAAGTTTTAAAATGACCTTTTATGTCTGTCTTACCTTTTCTGTTTTGTGCTTGTGTGTGCATGGTGTGCTGGAATGCATGACTGGAAATCAGAGGACAACTTTCATAAGTCAGTTCTCTTCTATCATGTGGGCCCCAGGGATGGAATTCTACGAGTCCTAGG